GAAAAATATCAATAGAACAGTGTCAAATGTCCAATTTCCTCCATTCTGAGTTTCTGAACATAGTGAATGATTGAATCTTACAAACTGCAATGATATGAGTTTATTTCCATTTTTGACACCTTATTACACAATACACGATTACAGGTTTACCATCATTTTTACAAAATCAACTAACAATGTTGTAAAGATGCAGGAAATGTCAAACAAACACTTTTACGTATCTTATTAATTAAATAAAGAGACTGTTAACATGCCTAAGAATTGAATCTGAGGAAATGTGAAAAAACAGCATAACTTATAAAATAATGGTCCGATTATGCTGATTTTCGAACTTGACCTGCGTTTTAGTAAGATTGATTACTCCTGTGAGTTTCATGACAACAGGCCTATGGGTTTTCCTTGAAATGTGTTAACAGTTTTGCATATATGCTGAAAAGTGAAAAAACAGCATAACTTATAAAATAATGGTCCGATCATGCCGATTTTCGAACTTGACCTGTGTTTTAGTAAGATTGATTACTCCTGTGAGTTTCATGACAACAGGCCTATCAGTTTTCCTTGAAATGTGTTAACAGTGTTGCATATATGCTGAAAAGTGAAAAAAAACAGCATAAATTCTACAATAATGGCCCGATCATGCTGATTTTCGAACTTGACCTGCGTTTTATGAATATTCATCAGCTCTGTAAATATAAAGCCAAAAAGTAAAACTGTCTTCCACTTATGGTGTTAACGCTGAAAGTGCACGGCGACATGATCGGTGACGGCGACGGCGACGACAGACGCAGGTGATGGCAATATGTACAGACACATCTGTGTCTGTACATAAAAAACTCAAAAATGTGCAGAATAAAAACAACCATATGACATTCCATGTTGGTATTACTGACAACCTACCTACTAGGTCCTGCTGCACCCCCGTGTTGACCAGTCCATGTAGGGACACCAGCCACGGCAGGCAGACATCGCGTACGGGACTGCTTCAATGCTCGCACAGCTTCACGTGCCACTCTCTCCGCCTCCCCTTCCACCAGTGCATAGTCTGGGTTGGAAGACATCATGATAGTATCATGTTGGACTACGCTGTGAACTCCTAGTACCAAAGGAAAACACATTTTGGTTAATTACCATGTGAATATATTTTTCTTTTTTCACTTGTTGGAAACTTTTTTTTGTGGAGCCTGAGGCAAGAAGCATAAATTTTCATCTCTTTCACAATTGCATTCTGGTTCTTCTAAATAACTTCAATTAAAAAAATATGCAACAAAATCCAAGTCAAAATGTTAATAGTATGTTGTTTTATGTGCTTTCAAAATGTGTGATTTCTCTGTAAATAATAACCACACACTGTGGAAACTTCAAAATGGAAATAGATCCAATTGTAATCCAAAACCCTTCAAATATCAGATCCCAAGACACTTCAAAGACCCCTCAAATTTCATTAAAGATGTTACAAAAATAAAATAGATTGCAAAAGCAAAATCTGACAGTGGTCGCATGGTTTTCAATAAGTTTATCATATCTTTTTCTCAATAATAAGTGGTAGTGATCCTTTCAGAAACTCATTACAAAAAAACCAAAGTTCAATGATATTAGCTTAGAACCCTTAGAGATGAGCTGCACACAATCATGTAATGTCATGTCTCTGGAGGATTTCTCAGTGATTCCTTACAAATGACCAGATCAGGAGACAAAGTACCCCCCCCCCCCCCCAGTATTCTTCTGGATTCTTTTTTACCTGTTGCAAATCGGCCCGCTAATACTTTAGATTGTTTAATTTGTTTGAAAATTATTTTTGAAGATTGTGCACTTTTTCCTCCATTTCATAAATAATTACAGTTTTTTTTTTCATTCACAGATTTTAGCAGTTTGTTATAGAATTAAGTATGCATACAGAAAGAATGGTCATCGTGACCTCCGTTGTTTCTTTCTGTATTTTTAGACATTTCATTTTCACTGACGGAGCAAACACGGTGCTCTGTTCTTGGCCCAAACCTGCTAAACTTCCCTTTCTTTCTGGCTCTACTGATGTTGTCTACTAGAAACTTTAGCCTGGCCATTTCTCTTAATGACAAAGACTATTTAAACCACTTGAATCTAGTTTAATACATGAAAAATGTATTCAAAAAACAGATTACTTATCTTTTTGCAAAGAAAAAAAATTCACACAGATGCAAAAAAAAAAAAAAAATGTAAGAGCTCAATTGTGTTCTGACAGACAGGTAGGTGGATTTGAAATGCTTGAGAAAAAGCATCCAGGATAAATTGTCTTACTACCATTTTGTTTATACTTTTACAAACAGAATGACAGACAGACAAAGGGCCTCTTTGCAACCCCACAAATGAAATTTGTGCAAAATTGTTGGTAAATAATAATTTTTGCTGAGTCGTCGCATCATAATTTTTAGGATGATGAGTCTCATTGAATATTTGATATATAATTTTTATCCCTAAGGCCATAACATTTAATACAGGCAACAATTTGCTACATTGTTATTATTGTTAAAACGATTAGGATAGAGGGGTTATATAATAAAAGCGGCCTGGTTTGGCCAAATCACGAACAAACAATATTCCTTGTTACCTTCTTTCTTGCTATGAATGAGACTATAAAAGTTTGTGGTACACTGAGATGGAGGAGACATAAAGAGAAATAAAAACAAAACCTCCTTGGCATAGGTGATAGAAGAATCTCACACAGAAGTCCCCAAATGTGAGAGTAGAAAATGTCAGTATAGTAATTATATTTGGATGGTTTGGTATCTGCAAATACAAGCCCCCCTGTTAGTTGGAGCTCAAATGAACACATGGAGTGCCACGTGAAAAAATAGGAGTATATATAACAAGGAAAAAATTACCTCTATTTTTTATCTGCTGTTGCCAGTTCCATTTTATAAATAGATACCTTATCTTTTTATTTCAAGAAGAAATATATATCTATATACAACTATACAAAAATTATATTAATAATAAATAAATCAATAAATAAAAAACCCAGACAATTAACTGACAGAGACATTCAACTTCAATGCATCCCATATCTATCTAAATGTCAGGGCGCTTCTTAATTTCATACTCAACTCCGCAACAAATGTTTCTGATAAGATAGAATGACATTTAATTTTCTTGAAAGATCATTCTTCAGAAAGACTCCCTGCAAGTTTTTTTCTCCATGTCTATTTCTCAGCCTCCATTACACTTACTGAAATTTCTAGATCAATTTTTAATTTGTAAAAGATACATGGTAGTGGCAATCAGAGGCTTCAGGTGATATCCTATGAAGCCCTGCATGGAAAAAGTCTCTACGTAATTAAGTAACAAGCATGTGAACTCTTTCCAGAAAGGTTGCTTTTTTACAGTGAGTGCACAAGACAGTTTAGTCAAATTTGATATAGTATAATCACCACCATCTTTTAATTATAGGGCTTCAGGCCCATGGGATTTTACAAAAAACTGCAGTAGTTAATAATAACAATAATAATAATAATAATAACTAGACTGCAACTGGCTGAAGCCAGTGGCCGAGGATTCCCCTGCAAAATAGGTGTGGAAATGCTCTTACAAGGCCATGTGAAGGTCATGGGTTAAATTTGACCCAATATTCTGAAAGAGCATGTGCGAATTGGGGGAGGAGGGTCAACAAAACATCACCTTTAGCCCACTTCAATATTGCTCCATGAAATAGCCAAATGACCTTGAAAATGAGGGTCAAGGTCAAATTTGACATTTGATTTGGGGGTTTTGGGTATATGTTTGGGGTAGTTTACTATAGCATGCTATGACCAAAAACCAGTGTTTCATGGAGAAATTGCCAAACTCAAGATTTCTGCAATGTCATAAATATTTAAAAATCTATATTAAAAAAAGTAATTAGGCAGTTGCTACCAAGGTGCAGCTAACCTTCGATATATATATAGGGCATCATTTGCCATTATGATTGGGGCTCTGGGCCTTCCGGTTCTTGAGATCTCGGAAACAAACCTTTTTTGAGCCCGTTTGCCCATTAGCGACCTTGACCTTGACCTACTTGCATAAAAGTAGGTCATTATCTGTGGATTCACCTCAGTATCACTGGCCATATGGCTCTCAGCCATATGGCTTATACATTAGGCCTAATGGCAATTTCAAATTTTACAAATTTTGCCTTTAAAAGCCCCTGTGACCTTGAAAAGTAGGTCAAGGTCACTGAAACTGGTTCTGTGGCATATTCTGACCATAGGATACCTATGATAATTATTTCAGATTTTTTGCGAAAAAACGCGCGGAAAGAATAATAATAATAACAACAACTATAATACTACCAAAAACAATAGTATTCCCCTATGGGGAATCCTAATAATAATCCAATCAACATGATTTGGCAGGATGGTGTGAACAAATGTGTCAGGTAGCATCAGTGAGGCCAGCAGCTAAAGCAACCATACTGTAGCATTCTCTGTTGGGGTTTTCTGGTGGGATTTTTTAAAGGAATTTTTATAAATTGCTGCCACCAGTGCAGATTACTTTGGTTTTTAAAACTGCACAACTCAAATTTAGTTTCCTCTAGTTGACTGCTAATTCTTAACTACTCTTTACTTATAACTACTTCTATTCATTTCTCTTTACATATTGTCTGAATCTGTGAACCTGCCTTGTATTAATACTTTCTCAAAAGAGGGCGACCTTTAACTGTTCACTGCAATACTTGATGGCCACTTCATGACAGGCAGGGAAAGTGGTTGGCCTTGAAGGAGTCTCTTCAAACTCGACCATTAAGTGAAAAGCAGGGACAGATAGAGGCCATTTTCTGGGTCTTCCAGAGAGGATGGTCAAAAATTTTCAAGTTTACATTGACAGGCATCTATTTTTTTCTGTCGGAAGACCGTCACAAAAGGAGGGTGGATCAACAAAGATAATTTGAAAGACTATCAGAAAATATCTCTGGATCTGCCCCTGAAAAGGTTAAGCCCAAGGCCATTCCAAATGCAAGCCAAGAGTTCAGCTACTAACAATACACCAACTCAATACAAACAGAAGGCTAGTAATTTTACTAATGAACTTTAAACTGTAAAACCATTACAATACGAACAGACACAGGTAATCAGAATACACAGTCAAGTATTATTATCTCCCAAGGGCCAGCTGAGTTATGACATCAATTTTTTACACATTCTTCTCACTGGACCTATGTGATTTCTGAGCAGTAAAAACCAATAATTTTGGCTGAGAGCAAACCCTTTTGTCTTTGCACTGCCAGTAATTCTGTGCTTTATGCTAATTTCATAATGTGTCTTCACTTATCTGTCTGGCAAACGTCACATGTTTAAAGGAGGTGGCCAAAAGTGTCCCACAGTAGTGGCAGTGTCTGAATAGTTATGCAAAAAGTGACCAACTCTGTAACCATTGGATTCCATCACTGGGTCAAAGTACAGAAAATTGCAAGAAATTAACCAGAGGCATATCTGTGAATAGTGGGTACACAATTACATCCTTGGTACGTGCATCCAATCAAGCATTAAAATTGTGTGAATTACATCAAGTAATTATTTTGTTCCTAAAAATCTAGACTTCAACTACAAAGACACTTATTTGTTCTGCTGCATCTGCAGTCTGATCACACACACACACACACACACACACACACAGTCTTAGAGTGAGAGGGAGATTTGGCCATGTGCAAAGCATATTATGGTGAAAAAGTGTGTACTAAGTTATGTCTCCACAAACTATATTTCAGCCAAGCTGCAGTTTTGCCCACACTCCGGGTGTGGCACTTAAAACAGCCAGTCTGTTAATATATACATGTGCTAAATAATTTGGCTGGGAATACAGACTTCCGCTAGTCTCAAATAAAAAGTAAGGTAATTAGTTTTGCCAACAAAGGGAGGTAAGACTGGTAAAATTTAGGTTATTGTATAAGTAACTGATAATTTCTCTCTTGGCAACAGATGCAGTAGTTTTGCTTCAATTAGAAAATTAAGCATTGAGATATTCTTTGAATCTGCTAATTAAAGTAGGTTAAGGTGTGAAACAAACATCAAATGCAACATCTACTAAATTAAACTTAATTTCAGCCAAACCATGTTTATTTAAATTATCAGTCAACAAGTTCAGAAGAATGGGAACTAGACTATTAAAAAAAAATATCGCTCTTGTCAAACATAGAAACATGGTTTGGAAAGAGAATTAGATTTTGGAGAATGGATGTTTTAGGAGGTATGCCCTCAAGAACAAGTCCAATTTCATGGAACTAATAACCAGATTTCAACTTTTATGTGAATCAAATGTTCCTTTAAATTATACTAACAACAGCTATAAAGCTATATAACTACTACTGAGAGCCAATTATGCTGAATGCCCAGTTTTCTAGTTATGAGGATAAGAGAACTTTCAGGATATGTTAGTTTGTGGTTAAATGACTATTTGTTGCCTGTGTTATAGTTGAAATGTTAATGTATAATGTTTTAATGATTTAAATGGTCATCACATCAAACAACCAACTGTATGTCTGGATCAATTCTGACACTGAAAATAATGCACATAAAGAAACTTCCAAAATTAAACTTTTATCCTTCCTTCAACCCCCAACATAGGAGAGTAGAATACATAAGACACAATGCTCAACTAAAACCTCTGTTTGCTCACAATTATCACTCTGGAACTGGGCACTATACGACACCAAAAATTAAATTAAAAAAAAACATGCTGTAAGTTGTGTGCATGAACAAGGGTACAACACATTGTCAATTACACAAAGTGGATAGAGACGATAGCAAGAAATCTGGATTTTCGACCTTGACTTAATGGGATAACAGCTCTTCATTTTGGCAGGAAAATTGCCATAAAACAAATTTTCTGTGGTAAACGACGATTTTCCAATACTTAACAATGGTTAATGAATCTGTTCAAACATTCAAAGTTAGTTGATTTGTTTTCTTTAAACAGTGTTTTTTTTTTTGTAATAATCTTTTAAGAAATTATTAAGGAAGATAGCCATCTATGAAGGCCTACCAGGTTAGCTGGCAAGCGCAGATTATAGAATATTGTGATAACTGCTGTTTTGATGGTAAATTGGAATTTTTTATATTTCTTTGTCTTGTTCAGTATATTCTTATAAGTATTTAAAAAAAATTTAATTAAAAACTGTATTTTTACAGATCATTTGTTTTTTAACTAATTTTGTATATACATGCATATAAATAAGTTGGTACATAAACAAGATTTTATTAAAATGAAAAAATGTTTAACTACAGAAACGTTGACTTACCTTCGAAAAATGCACTTTTTACTATATGCCCTGGGTTTAAAACAATAAGTTTTTCAAATTTACACACACACCTGCATTCATTCGCACATGTGCTTTCAGAGTGATGTGCGCACATATTGGACCTGCAAATTCTGTATGGTTTCTGATTATAGCATATAAACAAACAAAAAAAAATCATGTCTAACATTACGAAAAAAAACCCAACCTGATTTTTTGAAGAGCCTCTGCAGTACGTAATCATCTTTCTGTCTATGGTCGGTGTCTGTTGCCTTATCTCCTCCATGCTGATAAGTGTCCATACCAACCAGGTGTGCTACCCTTTTACCTTCAAACACTGAAAGAATATATATTAAAAATTGACTATATGTAACAGTGAGCTTTCACTGAATCTACTTTACTTGAATTTTATAAACTAAACCAACCTTATCAAATGACATATTAAGAGGTTATACATCTGTAAACTATTTAGGATATTGAAAGAAATGCCAGGATGTTTTATACCTCCAATTTCACAAGGAGGGTGGTTTTCACTACCCTATAAACTCTTCACCAAATTTTGCCAACATGAGTATGAAAATAATAGTAAAAATCTGTCTTACCTGCATCCTTCTTTTTATGCTTCTTTTTGCGTTTTTGCTTTTGATTATGTTTCTGTTCTTCTTTGGAATACTCAGATTTTCCCTTGGTTTTGCAATAGTCTGTTAATCTGTCTTTTTTTCCATTCACTTCACCTTCCTCAAGCCCCTTTGATACAGTCACTCCTTTATTCTTATCAGATTTCATAGATTCTCTTATTGCACTGGTCATGGCCTCATCCTGTCCTTTGCCATATAAATCATCCTTTTCATCATCAATAATTTCAGTACCTTTGTTTACATTTATAGAAGTCTCAGGGCTTGTCATATTGTTTACCCTTTTGCTCACTATCTGCCTACTCAATTTTCTGGCCAATTCTCTCATCTTAGCCAGCTTTTTCTCATTCAGCTTAATTTCTTCATTATTTTGCTTTTTCTTTTCTTCCTTAATTTTCATTTCATCAAAGTGATTTTTCTTTTCTTTATCTTCTTTCTTCTTGGCCACAACCTTGACATCCGACCCTGTGCCAGCAAAGATGGCACTAGTTTCTGTTCCCTCTTGGTGGTCCTCGTTACCAAGAGTGAAAAGTTCATAGAGATCATTGCTTTTGAAGAATCGTCTTTGCTTTGGATCCTTCAGGACCCTATTGGCCAGGAATTGCTTAAAGATTTGCCTGTAGTAAAAGATGGAAATCTTTAGAATAAATAAAATAAATATTTTAAGACAAATGTTAATTATTGAAAACTTTAAAAAAAATTAGGGCACCAGATTAACTGTGATCAAAAAGTAAAACAAATTTCTGAAATTCAATTACCAAACTTCCATCTTTATTAAAAATTCTTTAAACACAATATCCTGTATGCCCCCCTGAACGTGATGAATCTTTCACTTGACAGTTCCCAATGTAAATAGGGAGTGTACACACTCCCACTAACTCATCACTTAGCTCCCCCTCTCCAACAGTAAGCCCTGCACCCCAAAAATGTGATATCTCTTCCCCATGATCCTCCAGGTTAGTAATTTGTATTCTGTACCTCTCTTACCCCACACTTTATACACTACCTGTACCTCCACATTCATACCACCCTGGCCCCCTCTACCACCACACCTCTAAGTTAACTACTACATTTCACCAGACCAACCTGTGATATATCTTCTCCTCTATAGTCCCTGAGGTGAGCAACCTGTATACTGTGACCTGCCTCTGCTGTCCTATCCTCCAGGCTCTCTCCCGAGCCTGTATATCTGTGCTGGGGTTCCAGTCTGGGTCAAATATCAGGACCCTGTTGGCCCCAACCAGGTTGATGCCAAGGCCACCTACCCTTGTTGTGAGCAGGAACAGGAATTTGGACATATCCTGTAATTACAATATAAATTACAATGCAATGTAAAATATGTTTAATAGTCTTAACATGATGAGTGATCTGACCTGATCTGATTATTATTATTAAATATTATTATACCACCAACCCTTGTTTTGTGGGGGGAAAATGAATTTGGATAGAAGTTTCAACTTTGAGCAGATACTTTTTAATCAAAACTTAAAAAGTTAAATATTCATTAAATGTGCATGGTATATTGAAATATCATGTTATGCATTGAAATCAAATGTATAATACTGGATTATGCTACCAGGCTGTTTCAGTTCACTCCTGCACTATCCACACTGCACAGGAGAAGATAACAATCCTGAGCCTCTGTGAACATTGTAATCACACTAGTATGATTAGCAGGGCCACAGTTAATTTAAACCTTCAGAAGGTAGGTAAATAAGAGATAAAAGAATTTAAAAATTGGAGAAATTAGTCATGGTAAAAAAAGGAATTGTTTTTATAACAAATATGCCCCCCCCCCCAACACCGCTAAAGCCATCCTTGCAGTAAATTAATACATGATATAACTGCAACAAGCCTTAAACCTTAGACAGGAAGCATATGCTACGCCTTACACACATATATCTAGAAGCTATTACCTCCATGAACAATTAAAAATTGACAAAGTTATCCCAAATGTTCTCTTTTATTTTATTTTCACACTATCAATTTGAAATGACACACACACACAATTACTTCAAGACAATAAATATGGAAAAAAATACCAATATCTCAGATAAAAAACTAAAAATAGCAAATGAAAATAAGAACCTGATGCAAAAGAATAGCTGTAATAATGAGAACTAAAAGATGAATAGCTGTAATGATGAGGACTGTAATTACGAATAGCTGTAATGATCACTATAATATGAATAGCTGTAATAATGAGTACTGCAATATGCACTTTCCTGTGCTTCTAATAGGGTTCACTCTCACTTTTTGTGCATTTTCCAAGAAATAGTTTCATTCTACATCCTTCTGGTGGATGTAATTATGAAACAAGGGGTTTATTTCTTCTCTACCAGACTATGTCTTGAGAATGCACTCTCTTGCTTATAACAAAAAAAGAAAAATTGAAAAATTTTGCAATTTGTAAACACTCAACTAAACTAAAATAATAATATTATTATTATAATTATAATAATAATAATTACTGAGTCAAATAAATCACTGATCTCAGACTGTTACTAAGGTTCAAATACGTAATAAACTTCTAAAATTAAGATAAAAATCAAGATAAATATTTTTGAGACATTCTTTAATCATAAATTTTAGAATATTATTCTTCTTATTTGTACTAGTTTCATTACTGGTATCTTGTGAGCATTGTCGTAAACTTATGCATTTGAATAGAATGGATTTTGTTTTTTGAAAATATTCATGATAATTGTCAGTGCTGGTCTGTATAGTTATCAGTTTGTTTGCATCCCTTTAAACTAGTTTAAGTGTTCTTAACAAAATTTTGATAAATTTTTTTGGATAGACAGCTATCCATTAGGGAAAGAAGTGATCGAAATTTCAACTAAATTCAGGACTCCTTATATTCCAAAAATATTTCTAATTGCATTATCCCAGTTCATTCATTAAGTCTATTCAACAGCTTATCATGAAAAACTATCATTTGCATCCAGCAAAGAAGGAGGAATTGGCTTTGTCTTGCTATCAAGAGAAATAAATTAAAATATCCAATCTGAAAATGAGTCTTTATATGAGTCCAATTAGAGCATGTTCACCCACATTATGAGAGGAAGTATGATCTCAAATATCCTTTCTGACATTACTTAAATTTTTATATGAGACCAATTAGATAAGTAAACAGTTTAGGTAGGCCCCTGTCTGGCTTAGGATAAAGGTGAATCTCTTGATTAAAGGCTATTTTAGTTCAAAGTTATGTAAGTGGGTATCTACTGCAAAATTCAATGAAAGTCTTGAAAAGGTTTCAGTTATGAAATGATGATATTCTGCTTATAGTCTTGAAAAACTGTATAATCAATGTTTCAATAATCATGATTAATGTCTCACTTGTTTTTGACCCATCTTATCTCTTCAGTAATAATCAAAACACTGCATGAAATGGCCAAGTAGTCTATCATAAATATGTACATTGTACAATCCCATTTTGATATAAAATGTTGACCTTTCCCTTCAAGAATACATTTTAATGTAATAAAATCACACTGAACTCATACATAAATGCACTGTTATACAGATTTTACTAAAAATGAACAGTGTTATGCTTATGGCCTATTACCTTGTTGAAATAGTCCACTAGTGGCTGCCTTGATCCTATAGCTGTTCCTCCATCCATCCTTAAGTAGTTATAGCCTTGGTTTTGGACAAATGTTTCAAGAACATCTAACATCTGTAATTTGAAAATTGACCTCTTCTATTATTTCCATTTTTTGTCAGAAAATACAAATGTTGATAATTTAATGATTGAATAGTAACTTTTTAAATGAAAAATGTACTGATTCAATAAAGTTATAAGAGCATTACATGCTTGAAAAAAACTGATTTGGAGAGGAAAATGTTAATGCGTGTGTGTTTGCATGCCTGTACATATAAGAGAGACAAATTATCATTGAGCCCCATTGTATGAATCAAATGAAAATTTTACATATAACATAAGGTCATGGAACAGACACAAACATAACTAAAAAAATATATAACTGGTGTCCGTCCAAAATAAAAAAAAATAATAATAATAATTACCTGTCTACTCTGTGTAAATAATAACACTCTTTGTCCCTGTTTCTTCCAAATCTTCAACAACGATTGGACAACAATCATCTTTCCAGATCTTTTCCAGTAACCATACTCCAAGGACTCGTCAGAGTCATCCACCATGTCATGTCTGAATATCTTAGGTCCACCTGTGGACAAATCTGGGTGGTTGCAGATTTTCCTGAGTGTAATCAGACCTGGAAATACCTAATGGAAAAGAACAGATAAAGTGGACATGGTGAGTTTCAGTATGCCTTAAATAAAATATTTCAGTGAGGATACAGTTAATACTAAATATTATACCAGCATGTATGTTTCATCTTAATTAAATGAAAAATTATACTTCTGTGTTAACATGATTTTAATATGACATTATTCACCTTCCAGACAAATTCATCTGTTATTCTTTGTGATAGCATTCCTTCCTATGATGACACAGAGCTACTTACCATGAACCTTCCAGACAAGATCATCTGGCATTCCTTGGAGTCCAGATACTCTTTATACACCTCAGTTTGTTCCCTGGTAAGTCTACAGAATAAAACCTAGCAAGAAAAAAATTAGATCATCAAACATAATTTACTTCTCATACGTCTTAAATTCTGGACCATGGATTTCTCTACTTATACTCTGCAAATTATGCAGAAATAGTCTCTAACAATTATGTTAAAACCTGTATGATTTGAAGTTTGTTTTCATAAAAGAAATTCCTCTCATAAACCAAAAGCACAGCTTTACTTTTTGTAAAAATGTTACAAGCAGGACACATAAAATATATGTTGGTCCCTTTCTCACCTGTTCACTCTTGTTGGGTAAGTTTATCTTGACATCTGCCTTCATCCTTCTCAGCAGATATGGGTTGATGGTGTCCCTCAGGGCACAGGCACACTTGAAAGCAGTCTGGACCTACACAAACAAATACCTCATAAAAACAAATACCTCAATAAAATCCAGTTTAAAGTTTCCATTTTAATGACACAAGCTTTTGCTACATCAACAAATCAAGAATCTTCTGTGCATTAAAATTTGAGATATTTCTTCAAACTGAAAGATATTTACTTGACATTTAACCTTACACTGGCCTAAGAGTCTATGGGCACTTTTTATATCCTAATGCATATCACCAAAAATTGACTGCTGCACCCAATAACCAGGTGATATAGGAGCCCATAACATTCCTTATAATTCTAAATCCCATACAAAGTTGCCTTGTTTTGTAAATAATGACTTTTCCCCTGTCTAATCAAGGCAAGAGGTTAACATGGCCTTACCCACTGCCTTACCTGTATTTGGGAGGCATTGGAGTATCCTCCCTGTACAATAGGCACAGAGAAATGTGCCATGAAATCAGGCAGAGTACCCAGCTTTCCTGGAAACACAAAGTCAAACAGAGACCACAGTTCCTTGAGATTGTTCTGCATTGGAGAGCCTGATAGGATGATTCTGTGAGGAGTGCGGATCTGGAATCAATGTGACAAATGATATACATAACTTAACAGCTGCCAAAACTTCATGGGTTACTTGTCCTTTCAAATATTTGGGTATAAAAATTTATTGATCAGTCACTGAGCAAAAGTAAATTTTACTGGTTGGCTACAATTTCACTGGCATTAGGCTTGTGCTACCAGCGCTAACCGTTAAAGCATCCAATATTACCTAATCAATAAACAATATCTTTTTGAAAACAAACTTTCTGGTTTAAATGATAGTTGGTGTATTTTTTAAATGGAAAGCAAAATGCACATTGTCTATGTTAAGAAAACATCAAATTGAACAACATCATTACTTTATTTTCATTCATTTAGTGCACATTAGGTGACAATTTTAGAATCAAAATAATATGGGCATAACCTCTGAACTGAGCATCAGATTTATTCACCTGTTTGCATGCCAGGGTTATCTGAGCATCTGGATTTCTGATCTTGTGTCCCTCATCCAGTATAGCATAGTGCCAGTCATGTTTGAGGATGTTCTCCTGATGGATCACCATGCTGTTGTATGATGTCACCAGGACACCGTTATGTCTTACTGTCTCTCTTATCAATTCTGCCTGAAAGAAAAGGAAAGCTAATTATTATTATAAGATAAAGGCATCCATCTCTGTTCATGCTTTCTCTTAAAGTGAAAACAAAAGACTTAAATCTTGCCATTTGTGAGACCAAGTATAACAATATTTTGAACTTTGCATGCCATCATTCACATCGAAACAGAAAATCCCACCTATAAAAAATCAACACAAAGAAATTTCATAACTTTGCAAGTTATGGCAACTATTATACTTTAATATATGAATTGAGTGCTTCTTTGACAATTGTATTAAAACACCACTTTACCTCTGATGATGTATAAGAGCCAGAAGAGTGAAGAATGGCCACTCTGAAGGGTGGCCACCATTTGTGGAACTCTTTCAGCCATTGGTGCATCACAGTGGTGGGGCAGACAATGATCAGAGGACCCAGACCAACATATCTAGAACCAGCAAATTTCCATAGAATTAAAACACATAACTGAGTAGGTGACTGGAGCTTGGTGTACTATGTATCATAGTTTTGAAATTATAGTAATCAAATAATTTACGAAGCATTTTTCAATCATAAACCAATTGATGAAATACAGATTCCAGAATATATAGACATCTTACATTGGGGGAAAATAAAATGGCAGCAACTACCTCAAGATCAACACAAAAGCAACTAACCTCATGTATGTACAGAAAGGGCTTGATCTTTTATATACAAATTAAGTAAACATTCACTATTTGCAGTGCAACATAAACCTTAAATACATTTCTGTTTACCTGGATGATCTGCTCCTCAGTTTACTTTCCTTCATTGCAGCCAGAAAGGCAATAGTTTGAATGGTTTTCCCAAGGCCCATCTCATCCCCTATGATCCCCCCAGCCTCTTGGCAGTGCAGCTCCCAGAGCCATCTCACTCCAGTCCGCTGATAGCTGCAAAGAAAAAACGTATGTCTAAATTATAAATTATTCTGAACAGAAAAAATGTGCCTTACATATTTAAAATACTAAATAATACATCCAGATAATCTTATTTTTAATCCTAATTTATAAAGTGCTGGATCCTGAAAACATCCACTGAAAAGAACAGTAAATGATTGTTTATAAATTATAATTTTGGAATAAATAATTTTAAAAAATCTCCTAAACTGGCTAAATTCTGCCAACACCCAAATTACTCAAGTTGAAAACTTGATTCATCTGATACTTTTCAGCTACTTCAAATCTACAACCATTAGAGGATTGGTCCAGAAATTGAGTTTATATTTGGAAAATCTTGCTTGAGGTTTACATTTGAAAGTAGTGAACACGACCCTGTTTTGTTTTTTTCCAAATAATTCATGTTATTGCTTACTTGTACAGTTTGCTCCATATCTGCCCTGGTACTTTCAATCCTCCATCAAACTCTATTCCATCTTCATCCTCACTAACTCCATCTTCAAGCAAGAGCTGTTTCCTTAAGAGCTCACTCTTTTTCCATTCCCTGTGAATATTGAATGAGATGAAATCAAACAGAGGCACAGGACCTCAGAAAATGTATAATTTTTTAAATGCCAGAAACCATGTGAACCAACTTTAAATATTTTTTTAATGAAAAGAAATTCACCCTCAATGGTCACTTTTGCCTTTCTTAGGTTCTTATTAATCATTCTAGCAAATTTCTTTTTCTACAAAAAATAAAGATCGCCAACTTTAAAGCAAACTGCTGGTGCAATAACTTCTGAACTCTTTAGTGTTATTGCTTAATGGAATGTTCGATATTTTAATAACACTTACTTTTGCCTTTTAGCAAAATAACTTTCATCTCCATCATCTTTGGTTTTCCTTTGCTTTTTAGCCTTAAACACACTACTCTCATCAGGTGCTGAATCTTCACTTTCTTCCTCAGAAGTTTCTTTATATTTTGGTCGTTTCACTTTTCTAAACCCAGCTTTCTTCTTTGTCTTTCGTTTTCTGACGCTAGGTGTTCTGGAAATGCCTTCTTTTTCTTTGAAAACAAATGTTTAATAATTTGTAAACAACTAAGGAATATGAACACATATCATGATTATCTGAAAATAAGTAAAAAACAGATAATTATCATTATTGCACACCTTGCTTTTCTGAAACCAAGTCTTTTACTATAAGATAAGCAAACACCTTCTAAATCCTCTATTAGGTCATCCTCCTCTGTTCCTTCATCCTGGTAGCTATCTCTCATCTCCTCTTTGTCAGGAACATATTCATCCCCACTTGACTGGAATGAATCGTGGTCCATGAAATCTTCCTCCCCGCTAAGTTCTGGGTCCTCTTCAAAATGGTGGCCTAGTTTTGGGTATCGTGCTCTGGAAGATGGCACATTGCTGAAGTCTGATTCTGTATGATAGACCCTTTTACTGTGCTCGTCAAAGAAATTGGAGTGTTTTTTCTTGACATGGTCTCTATGGAAATCATTCTCTGTTGCGGTTTGTTCCTCTTTAGGTGTTTCAGAAGATGCATGTTTTTTGGTTTCTGCTTTCAATTTCTCATGGTCAATGAGTTTCATGATAGTTCCAAATGGGGTCATTTCTCCTGTTCTGATCATTTTTTCCTCTTCCGTCTCTGTTTGTTTACCTAAGCCCAGAGCTTGCTCCAATGCAGACTGACCCTCTGCAACTTCTTCATCTGCAAAGATGTAAAATTGAACAGTTCACCCAAACAGCTGGTCTAAAATTGTTATCAATAGCTAGATATCTAATAGTGCTCTTTATATGTATCATTCCAGGTGTCCATCATCAACTAGATTAGTTCAATAAAGTTGAAGATATACATATTTATCTATGACGGACACCAGATTTCCCTTGCCACTGTGTAGATAACCGAGTTAGATTTTCAGCCATTATTTGTAGAGTCTTCAAAACAAACAGGATGCCCCAACTGCAATGTCCTGTGGTGGGTTGTGACTGGCAGTCACAGGACCTTGACGCTGCCTTCGCAGGAGCCTTAACTGCAGCTCTCCAAATGCATGGCCAGACTGCCCATCCGACTCAGCCGGCGCCCCAGAAACTCAAGCTGGATCCACCACAAATTTCAACAGGGTCTGATCCAGATCAGTGGTCGGCATTCACCAGGCAGTGGAACATGTACAAGGCTGGTATGAACATTGCTGAAAACATGGTAGCAACCGCCCTCTTTTACTGTTGTGATCAAGACTTACGCACAGACATTATGCGAGATCTTAGAGACAATGTTGCAAATATGGCGGAGGCAGACCTCCTAGCTGCCATAAGAAGACTAGCTGTCAAAGATGAGAGTACCCTGGTTCATCGCATACGACTGAGTAAAATGACTCAAACTCCAGGAACCAGTATTAGAACATTTTTGGCAAGCCTGAGAGGCCAAGCAGCATTGTGTCGATATACAGCCACATGTAAAGAAGAAGGCTGCACCCATATGTTTGACTACAGCGATGAAATCATAAAAGACAACCTCATCAGAGGCATCGCTGACCCAGAAATTATGTCAGATTTATTGGGTGACCCTAAAACAGACAGGACGCTAGAGGAAACTGTATCCTTTATCGCTCAGAAGGAACAGGGAAAAGTGACCAAGAGTGCAGTCGGAGACAATGCTAATGCTGCCAGCAATGTTCAAAAATCACCACTTGTTCAAACTGATGGGAAACCAAAATGCTGGGCATGTGGTGGACTTGCCCATGGACCAAGAAACGATAGAAGAGCAAGAGCCAGGAAGTGTGAGGCATGGGGTTTCATGTGTGCCAAATGTGGTGTCAAAGGACATTATACAGACCTTTGCAGCAAATGTAACACCTGCGGTGAATGGGGCCACCGGGATAAGTCTTCAAGGTTATGCCAGCAAGGGAGAGGATATAGAAACCCGCCCAAACCACGCACTCAGACAGGTCAAACTAAGGGTACGGACCACGCTGACNATCACACCATGGGGCCGTTACAGATACAAGGTAGCACCTCAGGGGTTTTTAGCCAGTGGAGATGCCTACAACCAGAGATTTGATGCCATAATCACAGACTTCCCTAATAAAGTCAAGTGTGTAGATGATACATGCATGTGGGCAAACTCAGTTGAAGAGGCATTCTTTCAGGCATGTAAGTGGTTAGACCTGTGTGCACGTAACGGTATCACCTTGAATCCCAAGAAATTTCAGTTCGCCCAAGATGCAGTCGAATTTGCTGGTCTTGCAATCACACCTACGAACATACAACCAAGTGACAAATTTATAGATGCCATAAGGAAATTCCCAACACCTACAGATATCAGTGGTGCCCGAGCCTGGTTTGGGCTCATTAATCAAGGCGCTTATGCATTCTCAATGGCACGTCAGATGAAGCCATTCAGGAAGCTCCTAAAGCCGTCCACAAAATTTGAATGGACAGATGAGTTGGACAACCTGTTCCACCAATCCAAAGAAGTCATTATAGAAGAGATGAAAGAAGGAGTGCGTTTGTTTGATCCAAACCGCCAAACATGTCTGTCCACTGATTGGTCTGTTGATGGAGTTGGATTCTTCCTGATGCAAAAGTATTGCCAATGCACCTCCAAAACTCCAGCATGTTGTCACAATGGCTGGAAGTTATGCTTGGTAGGAAGCAGGTTTACCCACCCAGCAGAAAGCAGATATGCACCCATAGAGGGTGAAGCCCTGGCCGTGGCCTATGCATTGCATCAGACTCGCTACTATGTATTGGGCTGTAAAGATTTGATTGTTGCCACAGACCACAAACCACTGGTTCAGGTGCTAAATGATAGGTCACTCACCGAAATTCACAACAGGCGACTACTCAATCTCAAAGAAAAGACACTAGCATACAGATTCACCATAGTGCATGTCCCAGGGAAGAAGAATCCCGGCCCAGATGCAGCATCCAGACACCCTGCTGGTCGGCCAAGTAGAATGCATCTACCAAATGAACCATCTGACAGTGACACCATATCCTACATGACTGTGCCTCCACAGGTCACATTGGCTAGTCTATACCAAGACACAGCAGACACAGACTTTGCTGATGATGCTTGCACCATTGCTGCTGCGTCTGCCTCACTGGATGCTGCTAACATTATTGTCACCTGGGATATGGTCCGAGATGCCACCTCTTCAGATACAACATTACTTACACTAATGCAATACCTTGAGAAAGGCTTTCCAGAAGATTGCAGAGAACTCCCCATAGAGATACGTCCATACCACCGTCACACAGCAAGCCTGTGTGTTGTTAATGGAGTGATACTCATGGGTCAACGAATTGTTATCCCAAGGGCCTTACGCACACCAATCCTCAATGCCCTCCATGCAGCTCACCAGGGTATAAGTGCTATGCAGTCCCGAGCAGCAGACTCTGTTTTTTGGCCCAATATCTCAGTTGACATTGCTAGAGTTAGGGACCAATGTGCACATTGTCATCGCATGGCTAAATCAAACCCGATGCAGCCACCATCTGATATTAAACAACCAGACTACCCTTTCCAAATGATCTGCTGTGAGTACTTCACATACAACAGTAAAGATTATGTTGTCATTGTCGACCGATATTCCAATTGGCAAATGGCTTTTAAAGCAGAAGGAGGCGCAGAGGGTCTAATCAGAGGATTGCGTGAAACTTTCGTCACATTTGGAATACCAGAGGAGTAAACCTCAGATGGTGGACCACAATTTACTGCGGGGAAAACACAAGAATTTCTTAAAACCTGGGGTGTTAAACACATAATTTCGTCAGTTGCCAACCCTCATGCTAACTGTAGAGCTGAGATAGCTGTCAAAACTGTGAAGCGAATGCTTGCAGACAATATAGCCCCAACAGGATCCCTTGATGTTGACAAGTTTCAGAAAGCCATGCTTATGTACAGAAATTCTATTGATCCACAAACAAAGGCCTCCCCAGCATTAATTATATTTGGACGGCCTATTCGCGATGCCATTCCAATACCCATGGGAAGGTATTCCTCACACGAAACATGGGCAGAGCTGATGTCACATCGAGAAAGAGCACTTGCAAAACGTCATTCCAGAGAGCATGAACGCTGGAGTGAGCATACTAGGATCTTACCACCATTGAGGGTTGGATATCATGTGTACTTACAGAACCTTGTGGGAAATTATCCCCGGAAGTGGGAGCGAACTGGAATAGTAATTGAAGTAAGACAGCACCACCAGTATGTCATCAAAGTGGATGGTTCAGGCAGGGTGACTATCCGCAACCGGCAGCATCTTAGGAAGTTCACTCCATTTGTTACCAGTGACTACTTCCCCATGATTGAGATGGCCCTCAAGGAGAACACAGTGCCTGAGCAACCCACTAAGTTGGTCCATCACGAACCTGGTGACCTTTATCTGGGAAAGAAGCAAACCCATGACAACCCTGTACAGGTCACACAGCCAAAAAATCCAGATGAACCTACTGTGCCATACCAGGATGCTTCTACTCCATCGCAATTATCTGAAGAGCCAGATTTGAGTGCCCCAGATCCCAGTGGCCAGGATGCCCCTACTGTCACCAAACAGCGCACCAGTGGTGGTTTGCCACGTGCATTAGCCCGTTTGCTACCTCATAACAAGCCAGGAACTACAGAAATGCTTACTCCATCCAGACCAAGCCGTCATTCTAAAGAGACTGACATACAGGAAACTCGGAAACCGGCTTCAACCAGGGACTCTTCTTGAAGTCTCATAATACTTGACTTTTCTTTTTTAAATGACTTTAGCTAGATATTTAATTTGATTTTCTTTTAGCATATAGCTTTTAAAAGTTGTTGTTGTTGCTTCAATTTCCTTATTCAATTGACTTTTGAAAAGAACTATGGAGGACCCANCACACACACACAAATGGAAATATAGCGTAAATAATTTGAATAGAAAAATAATTATTTTATCCAATACAAACACTAATACATAAAAAAGAAATAAACCTGTTTTGTGGTACATGAACGATTACCACAATGCTGTGAGTTATTTGTGTTCCTGACCTACAAATGGAAATGAATACCAGCTCTGTTACTGTACTGTTACTATAACAACAGGCCAGCAACTATCATTGTTTATTGATTTTTTCCCATGAGGGTACTGGGATGTGTTTATGATAAAAATGCAATCTATCATATATCTCACTACAGCTGCAGGGAGGGAGATGGAAAAGGGGGGGGGGGGAGGGTGAGAGAGATGGAACATGTACAATTGAGAGTACTTGTCAAAATCTGACTTACATGTATAAATACACATGAATTTCTATGTTCAAAGGTCAAAGTGGGGTTCAAATGGTAAAATTCAATAGATATCAAGTATTCTTTGGTTTGTTTGATCAATGATGTATAATGTCTGTCCCTCCACTTTCCATTGCTTGTTTTTACTTGGCATTTCAAACTATACACATTTTATCTCATTATTTGCATGAACTGTATTTCAGCTAGTCTAAATGCTAAAGGTTTTTTTTGTACCAAAATAATTTTATGATTGATTTGTAGTTACATATCACTTAGTTCTGGTATTTAAAAGGTATAGGTAAAGATATAGAAAGTGAGATTTTGTAATATATGAGTGTGTGTTGGGGTGGGGGACACATGGCATGCAAGGGAATCTCCCTCTCTGGCAATTGTCAATGTTGGCAAGTATGCTGTAACAAAACATGTACAGGACTGAGGTGTATGTGGTAACTGAACTGCTAATACTAGTACTAGTACTTTATTATTTTGAGTCATAAAATTTTTTCTTAAAAGTTAATCCCAATTTTCAGGCTTTCTAAGCTAGTCAGTACAAGCAAGTTATTATGGGGCCCCTGTCATGTACAGTATGTGTGTGTATCACTACATATATACACAGTATATGGCAGGGAGCTCAGGATACAAGGCAGGAAGTAAAACCTGTCAATGGATGTAGGATGACGTCACAGTACACCTCTAGTTCAGGATAAGGTAACAGGGATATTTACACTGTTAACAGTACACAGCATTGTTCCCCTTTGGTAAAAGTAGACTATTATATCTGGGTCAAGTAGAGTGGGGGAGAAGTGGATGGAGATAACAACAGAGGATAAATGTTAACTACTGGTATCACTGTGAGGTAATGGATAAGGATTTTGTACCACCGTATAAAGGCAGTTAGATATTTTCAAAGTTACAAATCTTATTCTGGATTAGCTGATATTTAAATTGTTTGTTATTGGTGTTTTTTGTGTCATTTTGAGATTTTATCATCAGAGTATTTGAATCTGATTCTGCTGTCTATAGTACAACAAGTGACCTGTAGTGATAAGAGAATGTGATAGTTGCAAGATTGTCACAATTTCCTCAAGCAGTTTTATTAGTTCAATGACCAATACAATAAAGTAAGAAGCCTTCAAATTCTTGTGAAAAAAGCTTAGTTGGCTAAATGTTAGGAAGCTAAGATTTTAGCCCGAAAACTGACTTCATTTTTACTATATTATACTCAGGGTCATTGTCTGTTCTATAATGTACAAGGAAGACATGGACAATTTTTACTTGATTTAATTTGGATAAATATGAATTAATACATTGAACTGAAGTACAATGTAGGTTAATTTTTTAAGCTATCTGGCCCCAAGGCTTGTTCTAGGAAAAAAAGCAAACATTATTTAGGCTTCAAGTTATTAAAAATTGAAGATCAAACTGCCCTTTGTTGTCCCTAGAGAAAATATACTGTTAAAAGTGATTTTCACATGTTGTATTTTACATATAATAGTTCCCCATAATTGAAAAAGGAGTACCTATCAGTACTGGAACAGTTAAGTATATTTGTGGTTGTCACTGGGAGTGTTTAACCCTGACATGCCCCACAAAAAAAGCATGGGATGCTATATCTGGTTGTCACATGTTGTATTTTACCATAATGAGCCACACAACCAAAAGAGGCGTGCATTGTTTTTTCTCGTTGTGAATATCACATGCAGTATTGAACACTGACAACCCCGGGAACGGGAACGGGAACGACCAGAACAATCAGACCACTGATGTCAAATAAATTCCAGGGGCAGACATTAACAGTAATTGGATATCCGTCATATTACTAGAACTGAGATTAGAAGTAATTGGATATCGGTTAAATCAATTGGAATGGCTGTCTAACAGCAATTTTTCTGCCTTTATTTCAGAATAAATGACCAAGTGGATGAGCCAGAGTGAAATGGAGCCTGACACAGTCTTAAGCTAGCTGCAAGTGACCAGATCTGAGCAGTAAGTGACCACAGCTGAGCAGGGAGTGACCACAGCTGAGCAGGGAGTGACCACAATTGAGCAGGGAGTGACCACAGCTGAACAGGGAGTGATCACAGCTGAGCAGGGAGTGACCACAACTGAGCAGGGAGTGACCACAGCTGAGCAGGGAGTGACCACAACTGAGCAGGGAGTGACCACAGCTGAGCAGGGAGTGACCATAGCTGAGCATGGAGTGACCACAACTGAGTAGGGAGTGACCACAGCTGAGCAGGGAGTGACCATAGTTGAGCAGTGAGTTGGCCACATCTGGAATCTCATACTGGACCATCAGAAAGGGATGGTCAACACGTACAACTAGAGAGAACTGACCATTGGTCACTGATGGGATCAAAACTCCCAGAATAACTTACTAGATAACCGGCAATTTACCAGTAAATATATTATCTTCTTACATTCACCTTTGAAATCCTATGCTGTACCCAATGAAGACTATAAACTGGCCTCAATAAAACTCTAGTGTATGAATTACAGTGAGAGATTAGAGATATCAGCAATGTGAAAACGTCACCTTCTACAACTCTGACTCAATTTGTGGAAACCTGTTGAAAACTGCCTTCTGACTGGGAATTGGAAACCCCATCTACTGATGCTGATTAGAGACTACTGGCTACAATAGAAGCTCTTATTATCTGAGTGAAACCAACTAACACATGTATTAGTGTAAACTGAAACCAGTGGAAGAAGACTAATTATAGTCATAGATAGGCCCATGTGAGACTCTGAATTGAGTCAGCTACTGTATAAAGTGTCAGGGACGACACTGCAGTTAAACTTCCATCTGCATGCATTGAGTGATCTAGAGTGGTCTTCAAGGATCGTTTCCCAGTGACTTAACATGAAATATATTGGTATTTGATTACTTTTCTCAGCAAAGAACCAGACCTAATGAAAATACATTTTTCATGTTTCATCTTTTCTCAACGAGGGAGTGAAGACTATTTTGCTTTGTATTGAGGAAAAACTCTTGTCGGCAAGGGTGACAGTATTTGTCTCAGTAATTTACTCAGAGAGAGTATAGGAGAAGCTGCTAGAAAATCAGTTCAGGAATCATCACAAAGAAGTTGAGCAAGCAAGATGTCTATAAATTACAATGATATAGTCAGGCAGGGTTATGTGAAGATGAAGAGCAAACATCTTGGGGTAAGTACAGCTGCGCTACGGTAATTACTCCAGATTTTCATACACCTCAGTTTTTGTAATTTTTTACTTTTTCTAAGATTTACCATTTTTGGATCCTCAAAAGAACAAACAGTACTGTATGAAACCAGCAAGCTTTTCAAAACCCTTGAATCCATATTTCTAAAGTATATTTCTAACAAAACATGTTTTGAATGAAAAAAATTAATTCATGTTGTTTGAACTTATTGGGAACTTCATTACCAATTTGAAAGTATTAGTAAGAGTGTTATTTTCAGTTTTTAGTTGAACCATTTATCACAAATAATTTCAGTTTTAAAAAGCTGTGAGCAGGCAAATTTGAGTCTACTAGTACTTCAGTCCAAGATAAATCTGTAAAAATCTGGAAAAATTCAGTAATAATGAATATAATTGGTCAGCCACAAATTGCAGTCTCTCTTACTGAAGGGGTTACACCAGACTTTAATTCTTTCTATCTCTCTTTCATTTAATCATATTTTGAGTAGTCAGGTGCCAGGCTTGTAAGTTTGTTAGATATGGGTCTGCTATATTCTTGAAGAAATGGCTTAACTTGCAATTTTGAAGGAACTCTTCTCTTTTATGAAAAAGACTTCACATGTTAGAGCCCAAAATGGAGTTGGGAAGTCATCTACAGAAATGCTAAGTAAACATTGACTGAATAAATTTACTCAGAAAAAAATTCAATTACCACCGCAGAATTGAGACCCAGATGCCGTCACACACTTTTTAGTGGTTATTGATCCAAAGATCAATTAGTAGAATCCAATTGTGGTACAGCTTGAGAACGAAGCTATTTTTATTTAGTGAGTTATCTGCTTAGAAAGAGTACATGTATTAATTCTATGTGTTGTGGAATATAACATTTGAAATTTTCTCTTTCTTTCTTTCTTGTAAGGACTTGTTCACAGCAGGGGTCTACCTTAAGTCCGAAAAAATATTGTTTTCTGTGTTGATATCTTCATGTTAACTGACATACTAGTAATTTAGAAGAGCATTTTATTGTTGAAATTAATTTAAAAAATATTTGATAAGATCATGAGAGAGAGTGAGAGGTAGTCAGACAGAAATCAAGAGAAGGAAATCATATAAATTTGTTTTAAGGCTATCTCAAACAGTATTGAAAAAAAGAAAAGTAATATCTGCAGAAGAAGAAGTAAAAGCTGGCAATAACAATTTATTCCCACTCTGGGCTTTTAATTATTTTGGTAGTTTTTATGCTGTGGCACTGGATTGCTTTCACTTTATTTTTGTGGAAATTGGCAGAGAATGAAAAATGACAGTAGAAAATGAAATCAGGGAAACAGCAAATGTGTTCAAGAACTTTGGCTGTGTTCAGCATTGTTTTGATCAAAACTGTCTTAATCTAAGTACAGTTTATATTTGCTAGCACCTGCCTGCCATATAATAAAGAAAAGTTAAGAGGCTTATGTACCAATTGTGTTTGTACCCTAGGTACTTTATATCTGTAATATCTACTTTATATTGTGTCTTACACATGCGCACACACACACATACACGCACACACACACACACACACACACAGAGACCAGAAACAAACATTAGCTAATTAGTTGTATCTCTAAGTAATCAGTAAAGTAACTAGATTGTGTAATAAAATTCCATTGGCTCACTTAAAGTTAGTCAAAGTGTTTTAATTACCTCCATAAAACCTTAACTGGCATGGGCCCCAGTGACTTCACCATAGGCATTACTTGATTTCCCAAGCCAGCAGTCATCCCAGCTGATTCCCACCTATTAGCAGTAGTTAACCCAGCTGAGAGTCAGTGGTAGACCTAGTGCTGTTATGTTAATGTTATACTGTGTTTTATACACCATGACATGTACGAGAGACTTATTTGACATCATTATTGAAGGTGTTTTTTTAACAAAGCGCCAGTGAAAACTGTCCAGGGAATTATTTTCTCCATCCAGTCTTTTTTCCCAAATAATTTTATATGCTCTGCTTGTTTTATAACAGGAGGGACATAAATTGCTGATGTTTCAGAACATTACATTATTCAAGTGGACTACTTTGAACTTCCCTTGAATTTATTAAGTCATACCAATTTTTTTTTGGTTTAAAGGTGTTGGCCATCTTTTTTGGCTAATTAAGTTTCTTTTTATTGAAACAGGCCCCAGTCCAGTTTATGTAGCACAATTTTTATTATTTATTTTTGGTCAATTTCTGAAAATACTGCAGTATGATCTATAGACCAGCCCCAGGAGAAATATTGATTATGTAGATAACTGTAACGCTATCTAGTAAATTGGCACAGTCTCTCTGACCTAGCGACTAGTCCCTAATTGACCTCTGTGATATTGGGTTTTTACTTCCCCAAGGCGTGTTCACATAGGACACTGATTGATCTCACTGGAAACATCGCACAGTTTGTTAATTCCAAAGTTATTCCTGGTATAAACATGTTGTAATATTTCTTCATTTAGGGTGCTTTTCATTGCCAGTGATAATAGAGAGACCTTGGGGGATAATAACAAGTTAAGTGTTGTGTAGCAGGTGCTTTGCTTACACCCTGAGTTTTAAAGATCTCTGGAAACAATCCTCTATTGTCAGCAAGCCTGTGTTGTTTCCAGTATCACCCTGAAGTTCTGGGATTCCTGTAAACTATAACCTCTAGTATTGGCTGGTCACACTGAAGAACTTCAAATAAGAAGCTGGTCTTATCTTAAAGACCCTTTTTTTAGTCTAATTTTACTTTTAGGTTTAGTCAGACGTCTGTTTCAATAAAATTTTTCTTGGCATGTTTTTTGAAAATGAAATAAATATATCAGTAAACATACTTGTAAAGCTGGTATACGTATGTTAAATATCCAAGCAGTGAACTTTTATGAAGTGCGCAGGCATCTGACCTGTGCACAGGTCTAGTTTATATTCACATATCAGCAAAGAGGAACATTATTGATTAGACACCAAAAACCATGAATTTATGCATAAGTATTGATGAGAAAAATACATTGGAATTTCATATTTCTGGTAAACCGAATTAGACTAGGAATAGAATTGTGAATTGAAATAATGCAAAGCATTTTAGCAGGGAGATACTTTGAATTTCAGTTAGATTATACAGTACATATGAATATTATTTTTTTCAGATTACTGTTGTCTAAAAGAGAGAGAGAGAGAGAGAGAGAGAGAGAGAGAGAATACAGGAGACTTGCTAATTGGGCAATTTATGGGATATCAAAAGATACACTGTCCATACATTACCAGTATATAAAATATTAGATATTGTAGATAAGCATGGAATATTTCCATTTTCTGTAGTATTAGATCTCAGAGATATTTTCCTAGCTTTAACAGCTATGTGTGAATCACATTTTTATTTTGGTTTGCCGCCATCTTTTCCAGCGATGGATCAAGCGCTGGGTGCGACTTCACAGGATGTCGAGCAAAGGTCACAATCATTTAGAGAAATATCTCAACGAGGATGCAGCAAAAAGTGGCGCACAGCACAAGATTATTGACCTTAAAGATGTCAAGGCAGTAGAGAGGTTGCCACAGGAAGTGAAGAAGCACGGAGTCGAAATCAAGTTTAACGATGAAAGTTCCCGCCTCTTCTGTTGTGGATCAGGTAACATTTTTTTTTCTACGATGTAAAAGTTGGGTTGATTTTTACTTCATTGCTTCAATGCTTGTACTTTAAATTCTTTTTCTTGTCAATATATATATAGCCAAGTGAGAATTTTTAGGGCTTTTTTCCTCATCTGAAACAATAAGAGAGTGATGCAGTGCACATTATTTTACATCAGCATTTATAATGAATGAAGCTACATTTCCTGTCTGACAGTGTGTATATTGATTTCCTTATGATTTATATGCGATGGGTGATATTATTTTTTTTCTAACACCTATTTGTCTGCCTGTCTTTCTGTCATCCTTTCCATTAATTATTTAAGTGATTAAGTTGTTTATTCCTTGTCTTAGACCTGGAGGCGACTGAATGGATCAAGGCTCTGGAACAGTTATGTCTGGGTGGGGTACCCAATATAAGCCTGGGAGAACCAGATATTTTGGAGGCAGGCATGCACAGAGAAATGAGCGGTAAGTGTTGTGTTTATCACCCATGACTTTGGAGTAAATGAAAATATAAATGAAAGAGAAAGAAAGAGTGTGTTATTTTTATATCTTTTGGTTGCTTGTCATACCATATGAAAATTTTACTTTGGTAGAAAATAATGATTTTGCCAGATATATTCAATATGCTATGTCAGTACAGGTTATGTCTATTTATTAGCCTTTCAAATTTAAATGCAAGAAAATTCGTTTTCAACTTTTGGGAACTATTTTCAGAGAGATTCCACGTGTACTTGCTGCCTGCTGCCAACCTTGACATTTGTGGAGAGTGTCTGCTGCAGGTCACACTGGAGAAGATAATATTATGGGATGTAGAGAATCCAAGAAAAAAGCTCGTAGAATGGCCTGTCAGTGCCCTGAGGAGATATGGAGGAGACTCGTCTAAGTTTACCTTTGAGGCTGGAAGGTAAGTTTGCTTTTTAAATATGAATTGTTAATAAATAAATGTGTTAATATAAAAATGAATTCGGATAAATTTCGGATAAATACCAGATAAACCAAAATAAATAAATTATTAAATTATTTTTGATAAATTAATTGATAAAGCAGTATTGGTGAATGAATAATAAAAATTGATATTTTTTTCTGTATCTTGAGTAAACTTGGTGAACAATTAAATTCTAATATGATGATAAAAACTATGTTAATGCTAGCAGGCCCAGAAGCAGAATTAAGTCAGTATTGACTATTTCAGGCACTGTAAGATGTTGACTATTCCAGGCACTGTAAGATGTTGACTATTTCAGGCACTGTAAGATGTTGACTATTTCAGGCACTGTAAGATGTTGACTGTTTCAGGCACTGTAAGATGTTGACTGTTTCAGGCACTGTAAGATGTTGACTGTTTCAGGCACTGTAAGATGTTGACTGTTTCAGGCACTGTAAGATGTTGACTGTTTCAGGCACTGTAAGATGTTGACTGTTTCAGGCACTGTAAGATGTTGACTGTTTCAGGCACTGTAAGATGTTGACTGTTTCAGGCACTGTAAGATGTTGACTGTTTCAGGCACTGTAAGATGTTGACTGTTTCAGGCACTGTAAGATGTTGACTGTTTCAGGCACTGTAAGATGTTGACTGTTTCAGGCACTGTAAGATGTTGACTGTTTCAGGCACTGTAAGATGTTGACTGTTTCAGGCACTGTAAGATGTTGACTGTTTCAGGCACTGTAAGATGTTGACTGTTTCAGGCACTGTAAGATGTTGACTGTTTCAGGCACTGTAAGATGTTGACTGTTTCAGGCACTGTAAGATGTTGACTGTTTCAGGCACTGTAAGATGTTGACTGTTTCAGGCACTGTAAGATGTTGACTGTTTCAGGCACTGTAAGATGTTGACTGTTTCAGGCACTGTAAGATGTTGACTGTTTCAGGCACTGTAAGATGTTGACTGTTTCAGGCACTGTAAGATGTTGACTGTTTCAGGCACTGTAAGATGTTGACTGTTTCAGGCACTGTAAGATGTTGACTGTTTCAGGCACTGTAAGATGTTGACTGTTTCAGGCACTGTAAGATGTTGACTGTTTCAGGCACTGTAAGATGTTGACTGTTTCAGGCACTGTAAGATGTTGACTGTTTCAGGCACTGTAAGATGTTGACTGTTTCAGGCACTGTAAGATGTTGACTGTTTCAGGCACTGTAAGATGTTGACTGTTTCAGGCACTGTAAGATGTTGACTATTTCAGGCACTGTAAGATGTTGACTGTTTCAGGCTCTGTAAGATGTTGACTATTCCAGGCACTGTAAGATGTTGACTATTTCAGGCACTGTAAGACGGGGGAAGGGGTGTATGTGGTGAACACGGTTTCGGGGGAGGAGATTTACACCAGAGTGAACGAGGTCGCTAGGGCTATCGCACTGTCAGCAAGGCATAGGGTAAGCTGTCAGGATGTAGATGTAGTTATAGTACATATAGAAGTAGTCCAAGAATCCCTAGTACCTGTAATAGTTGTAAAAGTCCTGCATTAACTGTAGAAGTCAAAGTAGTAGTACTGTGCATGTAGTAGTAATGGTAGTAGTATATGTAGTACAAGTAGCACAAGTACAATATTACATTTTGCAGCTTTCCACACTTGCAATCAGGATTCTCAAAATAAGTCCATACATTTAGACCTCTGTATATAATAACAAAAAAAAATTCTTGGAAATTTCAGCAATTTCCCCCAATCACCAAGGCATAGCCCATTCAAAACCACTGAGATCATGATGCTTTATAATCCCGTTCTTGAGTTCTAAAATCCTGTGCTCTAATGCCCACTTTGTGCCCATTTAAACCTAGTATAAAACATTGTGTGAAACAGGCCCCAGCATTGAATACATTGCTCTTTGTTGTTGCAGCACACGGCACCACTACTTCCTCTGGACCGAGAGCCAGTGGTTCATGATGCTCGTTTTGGTATGCCAAGATCTCACTCTCTGCCCCCACCCCCACACCCCTCAGACCACAACCCTACAGGACTTTCTGGCTACATACACCCTCCAGGTCCTTCAAACACACTGCCAGCACAAGATAGGCGGCAGCACAGTCCAGCTGACATGGTGTCTCCTCTTGGACGTCCTTATCTTTGCATGAGACCATTGCCGAAGACTCCGGGAGACTTGACAAAAACTCCAGAAGAAGGTATCATATCTGTGTTGTAGGGCATTAAAGAGTTGTTAGACTGTAGAGTTTTGGTATTTGCATGATCAATTTTAAGAGATATTTATTATATAAAAAAAAAAAAACACTGTTGATGATGATTCCTGAAAAAAAGCAAGATATGGTAACTGCTCCTTTTCAAATTGCTTATGACGACAAAATCTGCTCATTGAACTACCGGTATTGTCAGTGTGTAGTGAAATAGTGCATATTGTCAGTAGTGCAACTTTCCTCTCCTTCAACAAGCACAAAGAAATAAAATGCTTTGTATTTCTTACTTAATCACCTCTTTATATTAATTATCTATTTCAGATGAAAACATTGGTGCAGCAGCAGCATCAGTAATGGCCCCTCCACCCCTTCCAGAATATATGAACATACAGCGTACCCCAGTCTCTGATGACGATGATGATGACTATGTGCCCTATGAACAGAGGGGACTTAATCCTGATTTTAGACACTTCCTTTCCCAGAGACAGAGCTATGTGAATGATAATCAAAATGGCCACCAAATCAAAGAGGACATACAAGAGGAACAGTTATGATTGGTGGAAAGTTGAATTATAATGGCAGCCAAATAAAAGAGGACATGCAGGAGGAACAATTATGACTGGTGGATAGTTGAATTAAAATGGTGGCCAAATATAAGCGGAACAGAGAGTTGAAAAGTATAACTAAAAAACATAAAGAGTATTTGACCTCTCTATGCCAATTATAGATTTTCCTGGAATTTCAGTTTTTTCCTTTCATCACTTAGGAACACAGTATATAAAACTGTTGACAAAATGATGCTCTCTACACCAGATTTGAGTTCCATGTTGACTTATTTTTGGGTCACTGATTGCTCATGGAGCTAATTATAGTTGAAAGATAGAAAAGCTGAGGGGTATTTTACACTCCTTTAGAAAAAAGGACTTAGTTGACTAAGAATTCTAGCAGGAAGTTGCTTCTTGGATTGAGGCTTGTAACCCAAAAGAATTCTGGGGTCTGTTGTGCTGTATTGATAAATCACTTTTAGAAAGGTGTCTTCCTGAATTCTTACCATAAATATCTTGTGATTTTATTAACAGTTTAGAATGTGCCCCTGGATCAGTTTCACAAGAGACCTTTAGAGCAAATGTTGGTCTCCACATAAAAAACAATGTATTAGATGCAGGATATATATATATATATATATATATATATATATATATATATATATATATATATATATATATATATATATATATATATCAGTAAACTACTTAGTTGAAATATTGCAAATGTTTTCTAAAATTGGGAATAAGGTGATGTTGTAGAACAATGATTTGTTTTTTAAAGTGTACTTCTAGAGATTCATCATTTCTTAAAGATGGCCTAGATTTTGCATTTCAATTAAGATCAAATATTGGCCCAAAACTTCTTTGGGGAACTCTACCTGACTGGTATATTTTATTAGAGATATACAGGGTTCTTGGAGCCTATTTGTCAAGTTGTCAGAACGTTAACCCTGCATAGTTCTTTCTTTTAATTTTTAAAGACATTAATGCATTCATTAAGGCTGGAGAAGTAAAATTAGCTTAGTTGCTTCTTCTGAGACAATCTGGCCATCTGTCAACATTAGGCAGATAATACAACAGATCCTTTTATCACCCATTGAGCACAGCAGATATCTTGATTGCTTCCAGCCTGATCACAACTACCACATTTACAGATGTGATGAAACTTGGTCTCGTCTACCGCAATGGAAGTCACAATCACATCCACATTACTGATATGTTTTTATAACCAATTGTTTATACTTGTATATAATATATGTTCAACAAATATGGTACATGGAATTATGATGTACTTACTGTATGTTTTTCAAATTTATTTTCATTTAGTTATTTTTCACTAAGAGTTTTGCCCAAATTTGAAATGATAGAAATATTTTTATTTTTTACCCAACAAGAGCTATTGATCCCATAATTATTTTTATGTAGATTTACCCTCATAGGTAGTCATAAAATTAATTGAACAATTATTAATGTGTTTCATTTATGTCATCATATTTGTTTATAATTACAGAGTTCAAATCATTCCAGTTTCTGTCTCAAAAGACCGAAATAGAACTATTACATTCACAGTGCCAAAGTAATATTAGAGATCAAACAGTAGAACCATCTGTGTATAATTTTTTAAACATATCATCATATTATTTTTTTGAAAATCAGTTGTCCTCCATTCAGTCTGTAGAATATTTAGCTGTTTTTCTGTGACACTGTAAATCCACTACAAGTAGTCAAAACTACATATTTCAAGATATTTAAAGCATAATATGTATCACCACTTTCAATTTTTTTTCTATTTTAGTGGTTAAATATACATATTTTAAAGGTAATTATGTAATGTTTTCATCCTGTTTGTTAACTGTTGTTAATTGTCTAAAACACGCCGGTACTTTGAAGACACCCATGAGTCACAAATATACAAATATGCTGTCACTTTAAGTGGGATGTTGCAATTCCCTGAAATATCACTGTAGTTGCATTACATAGTTTTGTGCTATAATTTGCTTCCAACTTTACCGTAGAAGTGTGGCGTCCTCATTGTCTTTATTTATCCAAATGTTCAAAGTGCACAAGCAAAATATTTGCCAAAATATGTAAAGCAGCACTATTGACGTATGGAGATATTTCTAAAAGTGGTGTTTTTGTAGTTTCCATATTTTACTTCAAAAAATGCTCAGCCGTTTTTTATTTATTTTATTTAGATATATTCATGTAACTTTTGTAATGTACATTAATCTGACTGGATGAAAAATAAAATGCCAACAGAATCAAATGATTAAGATGTTACTCATCTTTATTAGTACCTAAATATTTAGCCAAAAATTTACCCCTTCTTAATTTTACAACTTGTTTTCTTATCCCCGGCTTAAACAGTAAACAATCAAATAAACCAAATGTATCGAACGGTGTCCCCCAATATATAAATTTCTCTCCTGGATGATATGTGATCTATCCTGAAATCTTTATTAAAATTCGTCCATGATTTTTTTTGCAAAATTCACTCAGGGAAATTTAGAGGCAATAGAAAGACCGTATTTCATTGATAAAGGCTTTCTCACGGCTGAAAGGTAACTACAAGGAATAATAAAGAACCAGCTAAATGTACCTGTAAAGTATTAACAAGGATCAAATTGTTTGACAAAGGTAAAAGGTGTAACGTAAAAGAATGCAATGACATTGCCATTGGTCCTGGGGTTGAAACTGTTGTCAAAGTCGAGACCATTCACAGACAAATTGTCGAGTACCACTACATGGAACATCATTCCACGTGGGAGACCCCCTTTCCTTGTTTAACTCCGCGCAGTTTTCCGATCCACCTTGGTTGTTAGGTTCACCTTTATTCCAGTTGGTGTACGTGAGTCTGGAGTTGTTGGCAACCCAAACCCATGTCCCCTCGGATATCCGGTCGCTAGCACCTATCCACCAGTGCTTTACTGAACCTAAAATAAAAAAATTGAAAATATTTAAAGGAACATCAAAAGCGTTGGACATTTTTTTCTAAAAAAATTAATAAAAGTCATAATGTACATTGTTCACTGTAAGTGTTGCATATTGTAATTTAGGGGGCACACCTACTCTCGTTGCTATGTTTTTTCCACCACTAATAACTAACTATTTTCTTTAAAAATAGGACACTGGAATGACAAATCACATTTCAAAATGTTGAACATTGATCAGTTTCTTTTTTTTTTGCCCTTTATGTTTGGTGGATCTGATACTTGCCTGACATCAACAAATTCAAGTGCTCACGAATTGGAACAAGACAGAAAAGCTGTCGAATGTACGGATATTAAGAAGGAAATACCTAATAGGTTATTTTGTTAATAGTACAATATGTTTAACAGCAAAATAAACACCAAATTTTCATTACGCACAACAGGTAACACGGATATTATCAACGACAACGACAGACACAGGCGATGGTTATATCTACAGATGCTACCTGTATATGTCTGTATATAAAAGTTGTACCCAAACACACCTTGACTTGAAAATTGTAACTATTAACTATTAACTCTCTAATAGCATAATGGAAAGGAACTTACCTGGTAAATGTTTCCATATGATCTCATTTTCATCTTTAGAAGTTATAGTAACCAGATTGGCAGAGATACTTTGACAGTGCTCCTGAGCTTGGTGCCAAGTCTTCTGAACCGTCGAATAATAGTAGCAGCTGCCAAAGAGTTCAATAAAGTCACGGGGACACACTGAAATCGAGAATCCGAAGGCAAGATTCGGTAAAGAACATTTGAAAATATGTGCAGACAATAGGCCTACCAGGAACATGGTTTGGATCTATACCCCCCTACTAAAAAGTGTCACCCTTACCTAGCAGGATGCCTATAGATTTTATTCTACTCTTACGTAACAACTACGTAAACAATCATTTAATTCAAAACTTTTATTTTTTGTCATGACTTTATACATCACGTACCTTTTACACTAGCCTGTTTTTCTTCAATTTTTTCCAATCTCTTGGTGAGATCTGACACCAAAGCATAGCATTTCACTACCTGTTCTTGTTGAAGCCTAATCTTGTTTCGCAGTTCTACGTCTGTTTCCTGCAACTTCTTTTCCAATTCAGCGACCTGTTAAAATCGAGTAGAGCAGCTCTTCGGTTCAGTGTTTGAACACTCCCGGGGCGGATCTAGGATTATTTTAGGGAAGGGGAATCCATTTTGTTCTTTATTTTATTATTTTTTATTAGGAAAGACAGGCTTTGGATGGGAATCCTACCCTCGCCACCCCCCCCCCCCCCCATGGCGTGGGGTTCCGGGGCCCGCCGAAGGATCTCCAAATTTTTTGGTGTTTGGAGGGCGAACGGTTCCATTGGGTACGGTTGAGATCTGCTATATGATTCAGCTAGTCGAAATTCTAAATTCTAGAGGGGACTATTGGTGTGGTTTTTTAGAAACCGATGGGGGTCAGGACCTCCCTGACACCCGCCTAAATCCGCCACTGCACTTTTTTTCAACCAACTGGGCAAACTGAAGCGTGCTCATACCTTTCAACGGTTTCGGCCAGCAGTTACAAAAATGGATGTTGATTTTATCATTACGAAATAATTCTTCACTCCAGTCAGGTCTACTTACTATCGGTCCTGCCCTTTTTTCACTTTGTGTACTTGAAGTCAAAAAACATCATCAAGTGAACTATTACATTCTTATTCCTGTTCTAACCCGACAAACGTTAAGTCCAAGAGATAAAACCCAAGTTATATCTGTCTTAAATTGCTTTTCCAAGGCGAACCTCGTCTACTGTAACCGTTGGTCCTTCTGCAAAATGTCCCAAGTTTTTTCTGCACACAGTAGACATTGACCAAAGAAACCACATAAATAAATTGAAACATAAATAAGGTTGTGACATACAGTGAAGTATTGAACTATCACGGCATACAAACCTTGTCTTTGGTGTGCGTATCATTATGCCGGTGCCAGTGCCTCTGCACTGCATGTTGACAAATTCATTTCCCCAAACTCTACCATGCTGAATAAGAACAAACAAAAACGTGCAAGTTAGCAAATGTAATACTGCCATTCTTAAACCGTATGCACTAACAAATGATGGTTGTCTACAACGCTGGGAAGAGCCGTGTGTAAATGTGGAAGAACTGCACGAACATCCTTTTAAATAAAAGTAATGGGAGGGGCTTGATATCATATTATAGGTACTTGTCGTAATTGTATTGGGTGACTTTGAACATGTGATCGCAAGTGGGCGTTACCGTCGTTATCTTCGCTGTATCTTAGATGACGTACTTTCTGAACTTGTTGGCGTATGTTTGTAAATTTCTGCTTTTATTTGGGTCCATGTCTCTGTGTCATGTACGTTTTCTGACAATGTCGAAAGAGTTGGGTTAAGGACGTGCATACAAATTCAACATATATTACCCCGGGACACCTGTCTAGGAAAGATATCACTCTAAATATATACAGGTGCATGCAGGTAAAATAGGAGAGCAGCCCCTTAAACTCACGGTGACTCACTGCCCTTACAGATGAAAACTAGTGCAACATGTTTGCCTGAGTGATTCACAGTAATCTGATGTTTTGATCTAAACAGGACCTTTTCTTGGAAAACATTTACAAGCATAGTTATATGTCACAGGTATATTTACTTGACCTTCTCTCCGTTTGGTCAGAAACTACTGATAATTTAGTCAACTATCACGACCAACCCCAAATATGAGGAAAAGTGTTTTTAACATTCAACATTCGCACATTGTGAATTTAACAGAGCTAACACACTTAGGTTGGGGGCTAAGCGTATGTTGATGGCAGGTTGAAGACAGTATTGCCAGAAAAATAGGAAAAACATTTCGAACACACTTAACATAAATAGTTGCGCATGGTGTATTGTCGACAGAAAACTAGATATGCCCATCATTTTCAATTAAGAAATATAGGACCGACTTCTTCTTCTTGAAAATTAAACGATTCTTGCGATTTGTCAAGGGTAGAATTTCCCACCGTTTATAGAGCCTTCTTAATTCTTGGAGTAAAAACGAAACTTTTAGTCGTATTTTATTTAATATTAGAATTGGTAACGTGATCTTCACACTGCATGGTAGAAAAGCTACAATTATTCCAAGCTTGTAACGGTACAGTTACAGGAACATATAAGTATTATTACTGATGCATCTCTGAAGATCAGTGATAATACTTATATGTACCTGTAACTGTACCGTAACCTACTGTACTGTAACCTGTATTTTCCTTAAGATCTATACGGTGAATCCTCAAAGTTACAGGGACAATACCAGTTATTGAATCACATACCAGAACAGTGTATAATCCTCCCCATTTAACAATAATGCTGGTGGTACAATATCCGGAGGCGGTATCACCTCTCTGACCCTCTAGTTTATTTATTTATTTATATATTTATTTTATTTTATTTTATTTTATTTATTATTATTATTATTTTTGATGTGACAATGTGATGATGTGACCATTGGTGAAAAAATATTTATAAGTTCTGGGCTCAATTTTTTCTTTTTTGGCCATTTTTAGGTTGGCATAGTTGGAGAAACCTGCTTGACAGGCTTTGTTTCCTAGAAATCATGAGCAACAATAAGGAAACTGCTATATTTGGATTTTCATTACAAAATTTAATTGACTGAACAGTAATAATAAATGATACAATCAGATGGTGCTACCACAGACTTTTTACATAACTGCTATATTTGGATTTTCATTACAAAATTTAATTAACTGAACGGTAATAATAAATGAGACAATCAGACGGTGCTACCACAGACATTTTTCAGGCAACAGAATTTGAAAGCTTTGGGTTGCACACTTTTAGATTGATATGTCAATAATAAATGACCCAATCTTGATGTCAAAGCTGATTTCCTTAAAATTTCAGTGGATGTGTCCACATAATTACAGTATATTGGGTTAGAGAATATGAATGCTTTGGGTTGCACACTTTTAGATTGAAATATCTATAATAATAATTATTATTATAATTATTCGTATTATTATTATTGTTTGTATCTGTAGCAGTTGTTGTAGTCATGGTAGTTGATTAGATCTAACTTTATATTGTCACTGTTTTATATTCTGATGAGCCGTAGGGTTTAATAAATTGAAATAATAGATGATTCAATCTAAATGGCAAGTCTTTGATCATAGGCTTTGATTTGATTTGATTATATTCGTATTTCATTAGGTGTTTCCACATAACTATTTTGGGTTATAGAATTTGTTGTTTTGGATTGCACATTTTTACAAAGATATGTCTTTAACAACAAAATCAAATGTTTTTAATGGGGCTAGTCGAAATTTCTAAAAAAATTAATGATATTTTATCAAAATCAAATGGACTAGGTACTTGGTTTTCTCAATGAAAAATCACAGAAAATTGTGAATTTTACACTTATTGTATTTTTTAAGTCATATTTTTTTAATTATAATTTTTATCTTTGGGTGGTACAACAAAACTAAGAGTGCCACACAGTTTCATTCTTTATAATAAAGGCACAAATGCTACATGGAAATATATTTTTGAACTGAACTTTGCAAATTTTCTTTCCCTTATATCTCCAAAACTGACAGAGATACGCCCATAGTTACTATTGAACTTGTATAGGAGGTCATATTCTGGCAATCTCACTGCATGAGGCCTTGAAGTTGACCTTTGACCTACTTTTCACCATCATAAAAAAAGGAAAAAAAGAGCAATTTAAGATTTTTACATTTTTTGTCGCTATATTCACATTAAAACGCACAGTAAATGCACAATTTATGTTCTCCTCTGAGCGTTTTGAATGATATTCTGTCTTCACTGATAGCGGTATCTATCGAGGCCATGTTAACAGTGATTCACAACCTTGGACTAAATGTAGAGCATCAGGAAGTCCAATTAAGCGGTGAAATAAAGCACCTAAAAAGTAGTAATTTGCCGAACAACAATGTAATATAAAGAAAGTGAGATGGCTGAAGCCTCGAGTCAAAGTATACAACAGGTAGGAAACGAAAAACTTGAGAGGAACTTTAAAGATGAACGGTCTAATCACGCTTGACTGTCACCTTGACTGGTTAATAAACCTGGTAAATTTCTACCCTCTGAAATCAGGGACGAGTAAAATACTATACAAAATTAAAGTATTGGCCCCTGTGGGAATACATCCAATTAGTTAGTCTGCTTTCATGTCCCTACTCCGCCCCCCCCTTAAATGGTGGCTCAGGGACAGAGAAGATAAAAAAAGTCTGATCAAACTTGGTTAAGTAATTTTTGAACGAATTTATTTATTTCGCCATATACTCAGTACAACAGAGACAATAAAAAAGGTAAGCCTGTGAAACAGAATCGCAGAAAACAAACAATAAAATGACTGACGAAGAGAACTAGACAGGATCACATTCAAACTTGGTACACCTACACAGTACATGTACCAGTAAATTTATAGCTTCCGGAAAACAACCGTCACTTGTACCTTTGTAAATCTTACGTAGATCGAATGGGCCGTACATTGAAGGCTCGGGGTTCACGTGAAACTGAGCTAAGAAAGAAGTAGCCATGCCACTGGGCTATTATTATTATTATTATCATTATTATTGCATGGCTGGTACTTCAAAAATAGGATAATTTTAATGGGACTTTGCTTACAAGGACTGTGCGCAGGCTTCTATTTCAATTCACCGTAATGCAGATAATTACTCAAATGTGCTGTGTATAGTGTACGAATCTACTTACTACTACTTTCTTGCCTTTTTTGCCTAGTTGGATTGACAATGAAGGATTTGTAACTATTTTACTCTGAAGTGCCAAATCATTGCTGAGTAATTGCATCCCTTGGACATAATTCTCAAACTTTTTACCAGAATGTGCTGCGCGCAAGACCGGCGAGTGCTTTTGACGTGCTATCCAGTCTGTTTTCTTACTGCAATGTACAGACTACTAAAACATTTTTTTAACATTCAAAACTCAGCACACTGAGAATTAAACAGAAATAGCACATTTTAGGTTGGGAGCTTAGCGTTTGTTGATGGCAGGTTCAAGACAGTATTTCCAGAAAAAAAAAAAAACACGTAATAAAACATTTCGAACACACTTAACATAAATAGGTGCGCAAGCTGTATTGTCGACAGAAAACTAGATATGCCCTTCATTTTTAATTAAGAAATATAGGACCGACTTCTTCTACTTGAAAATTAAACGGTTGTTGTGATTTGTCAAGGGTAGAATTTCCGACCATCTATAGAGCCTTCTTAATTGTTGGAGTAAGACGAAACTTTTAGTCGTATTTTATTTAATATTAAAATTGGTAACGTGGTCTTCATATTACATGGTAGAAAAGCTACAATTATACCAAGCTCATTTCTTTTCTTTTTTGGCCATTTTTAGGTTGGCATAGTTTGAGAAACCTGCTGAACAGGCTTTATTTCCAAGAATTCACGAGGAACAATAATAGGGAAACTGTTAACATAACTGCTATATTTGGATATTCATTTCAAAATTTAATTAACTGAACGGTAATAATAAATGATACAAACAGATGGTGCTAATACAGAATTTTTTTCAGGCTACAGAATTTGAATGCTTTGGGTTGCACACTTTTAGATTGATATGTCAATAATAAATGACCCAATCTTGATGTCAAAGCTGATTTCCTTAAAATCTCATCGGATTTATCCACATAATAATTTTTGGTTAGATAATATGAAAGCTTTGGGTTGCAGACTTTTAAATTGATATGTCAATAATAAATGACCCAATCTTGATGTGAAACCTGATTTCCTTAAAATGTCAGTGGATGTGTCCACATAATTATGTTTGGTTAGAGAATATGAATGCTTTGGGTTGCACACTTTAAGATTGAAATATCTATAATAGATTATATAATCTGGATGGCAAGTCTCTGATCATAGGCTTTGATTTGATTTGATCATATTCGTATTTCATTAGGTGTTTCCACAGAATTATTTTGGGTTACAGACTTTGTTGCTTTGGGTTGCACACTTTTACAAAGATATTCCTTTAACAACAAAATTATATGTTCTTAATGGGGCAAGTCTAAATTGCTTAAAAAATAAAAATACATTTTATTTAAATCAAATGGACTAGGTACTTGGTTTTTTTTCAATGAAAAATCACAGAAAATTGTGAATTTTACACTTATTGCATTTTAGTTCATTATTTATTTTTAAAGACAAAATAACTTTCTTGAATAAGGAGCTAGGATTGTTTTGTAGAGGAACTGAATTGATTGACATGCTCTTAAACGATACTTACACGACTGCGTGTAATGTAAACGGGAGCAGGCTGCTAGAGGTTGTGTTAGGTAGAGATAGAAATAGAAATGGAAAACAGCGGCGCGAGAACCAACTGGAAAAGTAGTTAATAAATAACATGAAAGAATATAAAAGAGATGAATTTACTACTTCGCGTAACAGCAAAAGATAAAGACAACAACTTCGTCACACATACAGCACTGATATTCTGAATGTCAGAGGTCACTAGAAACTGACCTCGCTCCATAGCTACAATCAGCATGTTCCTGTCGTGATGATACTGAACATGAGTCGCTTTATCATAGTCCCTATACTACAGTACATATCCTTATAAGTTCCCATTACATCGCGAATATCAACAGCACTCCATTCGTACCGTTTTCCGTTATCCCGTATTGGATTCAATGTTTTTGTCTCTATTCACATTAAAACGCACAGTAAATGCACAATTTATGTTCTCCGCTGAGCGTTTTGAATGATATTCTGTCTTCACTGATAGCGGTATCATCGAGGCCATGTTAACAGTGATTCACAACCTTGGATTAATTGTAGAGCATCAGGAAGTCCAATTAAGCGGTGAAATAAAGCGCAAAAAAAGTAGTAATTTGCCGAACAGCAATGTAATATAAAGAAAGTGAGATGGCTGAAGCCTCGAGTCAAAGTATACAACAGGTAGGAAACGAAAAACTAAAGAGAGAAAACTTTAAAGATGAACGGTCTTATCACGCTTGACTGTCACCTTGACTGGTTAATAAACCTGGTAAATTTCTACCCTCTGAAATCAGGGACGAGTAAAATATTATACAAAATTAAAGTATTGGCCCCTGTGGGAATACACCCAATTAGTTAGTCTGCTTTCATGTCCCTAC